GGTTCTCCTTTTTTTTTTTTACCAGAACTCCTTTTTTTTAATCACCAGTTCGGAGTCCTGGTAAAAAATTTAGTTTTGGTGATTGTTTTTTTAATTTATAGAAATTACTAAATTACTAAATTAGTAATTGAATTTAGTAATAGGCTTGTTAGATGGTGATTCACTGAACAACATGTGTTTAGGGCATCATGCCCTGCCATACATCGATGGCCTTGAACCGGCACCCTCCTGCACAGGAGTGAAGTACTGTAACCGCTACAATCCTCGGAGGTGTTATAAAAACTGGACCCATACCGGTTGTGATATCCAACCCACCTCCAGGGCTGTTGTGATATCCTGTGATATCCAGCCCACCTCCAGGGTTGTAGCGTCCTTGAACTCCCACCACACACACACACGGTATAGTTTGGTTTCGACTCTTTTGAGGTTTTGAGGATTTGAGGATTTGAGGATTTGAGGATTTGAACAACGGTTCTCCTTTTGACAACCAGTTACAACATATTTTCTTTTCTCAGAAATTGTTGTCGCCGAGGAGGAAGGAGTCCTATTATTAGCTGTTGACAAAAACGAAAGGTATTTCCCTGATACTTGAAAACAGATAAATTTGTTTACGGCCTTCCATTTTTTTTTTTCTTTGATAGCAATCCTTCTCTTTTTCTCTTTTCTTTTTTTTTCTTTTTCTTCGCTAGCTATCCAGTGTGGCTGATGCGAAGGATGCGCGATCGGAATGGCTTTACTGTCCTTTGAGCAAAACTTCTTACCACTGTCCTTTGAGCAGAACTTCAGATCTATCTTATTGGAGTACCGGCACCCTTGCACTCGGTCCAACAAGTCATCGATGCGAGGTAGTGGCACTCTGTTCTTAACAGTGATGGCATTGAGGCCCCTATAGTCAATGCACATCCTCAAGGTCCCCCCCTTCTTCGGTACAAATAATATTGGAGATCCATAAGGGGAGACACTAGGCTGGATCCAACCCTTTTCTACGAGTTCCTTGAGCTGTCGGCGAAGCTCATCGAGCCCTGCTGGAGACATCCGATAGATCCTACCCTTTGGGATACTAGACCCTGGGATAATCTCTATCGTGTGGATGACCTCCCTCTCAACAACCTCTTTCGACTCTTCAAATAGATCATGGTATTTAGCGACTACTCCCTCTATCTACGGCGACATTCTCACTGTCTCGCCTGCTGCAGAGACATAAACTAAGTACATACCCTCCTTCGGATTTTGCTTATAATAATTCTAGAATGCGGCCTCACACATGCATCTGTAGGACTCGATCAGACTACTAGCCTTAAACTTACGTAATTTGGCGATCCCCCCTCCGGGCAAAGTGTGTTTGACCACTTTTTGATCCCAGTCAAACTGGGGTTGTGCAACTGAAAGATAGTACATACCCAACATGATGTCCATTGGGAGATCATTGCCGAGTAGGAACGAGACTCGGATGTCTCAGGTCCCCTCCCACGTATGGGAAATAACACTAAACGTCTGTAAGGTAGTCGTTGGCTACCATGCGCTGTTTGTTGGCACAGGTCGACTCCACATGTCGACTTAGGCGTTGCACTTGCCCCTGTAAATGCAGCCTCTCAACGCACACGCAACTGATAAAGTTTCTCGTCGAGCAAGTATCATAATAGGCTTCGGCCTGGAGGCCGTCGATGACTACCTCGCCAACGAACATCTCACCCTTAGGTTTTTTGGCCATGATCGTCCAAAAAGCTAGTGAGTCCGATCTTCTACCTCCTCTAAGGATTCAAACACATTGAACGAATAGAGGATCACATCAAGTGAGTCCGATGTGTTTGTGGGACGGCAACGGAGTCAGTAGCTTGGGCCACCTCTCGAGATGGTGTGGGTGTGTCCACCACCTTGACCCTAGCATGAACGACTACTATTCCTACTGGCCCGACACGTTTTCCGGAGCAGTGTCAAAACTGAATGTCCTGTAAGAGAGTCATTTGGTGGTCCTGCATTTCTACTACATCTAGCAAGACTGTCCTCAGGGTCTTTACATCATCATCCATGTGTGTCAGGTCCATCTCCTCTAACTCACTAATGTCTGCTTGTCTCCACTGCATCCTTGCTCTTCTCCTGATCATTCTTTCTTTTTCTGCCTTTTATCTCCCCTAAAGCCTTCTGTAGTTGTGCCTCATGAGCATCTGCTTGTCGTATAGTGACCTCCTCGGGGGTCAACACTAAGTGCTGGCTTGCCATGACGCCAGCGGACTGACTGAGGGTCTGTGCGAGCGTTGACCCTACAGTCCCTGAACTACTAGCCTGAGAGCTCTGCTGCGCAGCAGTTGCCATGGCTGCTGAAGTAGCGGCCTTGCTTGCCAATGCCTTGGTTGCCTCTGCGGCCCCAGCTCTTTACAGCCGCTGCTGTGTCTCTGTGGGCGGAACAAGAATTTGTCGCCCTCCGGTCCTAATGCCACGTGGGCTGTAGGGCGTGTTGCTGATCGCAGGATCCTATCGTCCTCGCTAGTGTTCTCTCTGTCCCTCATAAGCTACAACATTATACACAATCTGCACTAGGACACACTCGATGCGTACCGCAGCGTAGTGCACAGACCGATTTAATTAATCGGTGGCTTTGTCAAGGTCTACACATTCGGGTCCAATAGGTAAGTCCAGACTATTTTTACTTCATTAGTCCACGAACAGAAAGCAGATGTCTACCTAATGTTGTCTGTTAGATGTCAATGGCTGTCCATGTAACTAATTAAGAAAAAAAATAAAATCGTCTGTGTGGATAT